TTAAAGAAACTACATTTAGTAAATATCTTCCAAGATGTTTTTAAGAAAATTTGAAAAATAAGCTTTGATCAAAAAACAATCTACAAATTAAATTTAAATTTAGTTAACAAAAAACAATCCAAAGATTGTTTAAATAATCCTAAATCTTAAAAAGAAAATATATTTAAATCTTAAAAGTTAAGAGCATATTAAAACTGAACTATCATAAAAAGAAACTGATTACTTGCCTTCGACTCTAATTTACAGATCCTTGCAATTTCGCAACCTGATGGTATTTTACTTTTTGAGTAAACAAAACTTTTACTTTAAAATGTAAAAATTTCATTAAATATGTTCATGTATGGTAGCAATTAAGAAGTAGATTTGGGTGTAATTATATTTTTTCAAAGTTATTACAGGGTTTTAATGTTTCCATTAATGACCGCAACATCAGAATTCCTTTAAAAAACTATTTTGAATTTATATATAAATATTGTAATAATTTTATTTAAAAATTGTATTTTTCTAAAATTTATAAAAGAAAATTTCTTTTTGTTACCGTTTCCAAGAAATAATCAAAATTTGTTTTGTGACAAAAAATGCAGTTTTGTCTAAAAAGAAATATTCTATGGCAAAATAAAATAAAATAAAATGTTTTACTTTCCTCCTATTCAAACATTCAAACATCAACATGACAAAAGAAGGGATTTTCTAGAATATGTAAACAACTGATTTGTTTTGTTTACAAACAAAATAGATTAATAAACATTTAAAATTTACTCATTCAAACTGAAGACTGAAGAAATTGATTACATCAATTTATGAAAATATTTCAACCCTGGCCGTAGGGTGGTTGTTTTACAAGAAAACTAAAGGGGAAGATAGCAAGTGGGGAAGGGGGGGGGTCAGAGTGTATTATACTAAGGAATGGAGAGGATAGGGGTGGAGGGAGGAGGGGGGGGGCTTCTAATGGGCTTAACCATTTACCTGTATTCCAAATTCCAAACGAAAATCAAGCGTAAAATTCGCGAAAAATTCCTGAAACTTTCTCCAGAAACTTCAATTTTAGAATTTGATTAAATAGCGGGAAACGCTTTTGTACTAAACTTTGGAAGAAGTTTGAAAGAAAAATGAACTCAGATTATCTAGATTTCGAACTTTCCCCTGAATATGAGAACCCTCAGCAACCTTAAGAGATGAGTGAGCGGAAAGTTGAAAACAACATTCTTTAAAGGATAATTAACTAATATTGTCTAATGTGAGGGGTAGCTTGGGTGCCAGGCAACTTGGATTTGTGGACATGGTTGTCGGCCTTATTGTATGCTTAGTGGAGTTGTCTGACAATTTCCTGGGTTTCTTACACACATGTTGTCAACTTGTCGGTTCAGGTTGCTAAATTCTCACATGGTTGCTTGGTTGCTTGTTTGGCGGAGTTCTAGGAAGCTCAAATAGTTGTTCAATTCTCAATCACATTAAACTGAAGAAAATTGAAATCATTTCTTTTCTTGTTTAAGGAGTATTGAAAAGACCCAAAAAGTTTTGAATTTTTAATATATAAACAAGAGAATAGAATCAAAACTAGAAGAGCCACGAGGTCACAAAGTAGTACTAGTTGTCTCGCATAAATTTTATCTTTTCATTCTGTTTGCAAGGGTAAGTGCGTATATATCTAGAAGCTCTGAGTTGAAAAAATTACGTTAAAAGATGGTGGTTTCAATTTTTTATATTTATTTTCTATTTTCTTTTTCAAGTTTAAGAATAGATTGCTTGCATGGAATCTTGATTTTATTTTATTTATCTAATCATCTATCTATCTATCTATCTATCTATCTATCTATCTATCTATTTATCTATCCATTTATCTATCTATCTATCTATTTATCTATCTATCTATCTATCTATCTATCTATCTATCTATCTATCTATCTATCTATCTATCTATCTATCTATCTATCTATCTATCTATCTATCTATCTATCTATCTATATGTATCTATATATAAATCTATATATCTATCTATCTATCTATCTATCTATCTATCTATCTATCTATCTATCTATATCTCTATCTATCTATTCATCTATCTAATTTCTAGTAAGATATACTTCTGTCTATATATGTGAATAAGTATAGGGTATAAGAACTATGGTTGGCTCCCAACCCTGCCTATCTATCTTTTAAACTGCCAAAAATATCTTTATATTCTTCTTATACATAGTTGAATCAAAGTTTCAGCTGTCTCTATCTTTCACAATTCCTGATTCTTTCTCTTTCTTTCCCTTTTCCTGATTCTCTTGCTTTCTCTTTCTTTCCCTTTCCTGATTTTCTTGCTTTCTCTTTCTTTCCCTTTCCTGATTTTCTTTGTTTCTTAACGTATATAACGTATCACGTATCACGGAGTTATATGTATATATTTTAACATGGAATGGGTTAATCGCAATCGTTAATCGTAATTACTATATGAACAAGGTACAATATAAATTACAATCACTCTCCACTAAAACCAGCTATTTCTTCGGTCAAAGTATTGCAAATCATTGCAGTACACACTGAAAGCTTAGTTGAGGGTGCAATAGGCCTCAATTTTTGCTACATACAAACAATTTAATTCTGAATAATTTGCTTAATCTACTATAAATCCTCTACAGTCCCTTTAACGCTAAAGAATATTTCTTACCTACAGTACTTGGTCTGCTTTCCCTTTAACACTGAAGAATTTGCTTAATCTACTATACTTCGTGTACTCTCCCTTTAATGCTGAAGAATTTGCTTAATCTACTATACTTCGTGTACTCTCCCTTTAATGCTGAAGAATTTGCTTATCCTACTATACTACGTCTACTCTCCCTTTAATGCTGAAGAATTTGCTTAATCTACTATACTTCGTCTACTCTCCCTTTAATGCAGAAGAATTTGCTTAATCTACTATACTTCGTCTACTCTCCCTTTAATGCTGAAGAATTTGCTTAATCTACTATACTTCGTCTACTCTCCCTTTAATGCTGAAGAATTTGCTTAATCTACTATACTTCGTCTACTCTCCCTTTAATGCTGAAGAATTTGCTTAATCTACTATCTCTACTTTTCTCCAGGTTTTCTAAAGGTAAGAGAAGAGAAGCAAAACCTTAGTTTACAAAACTCTATATTAAACGCTCTTTAGTTTTTATATTTATCTATCTTTATATCTATCTGTCTATTTATATATTTATCTTTATAGATTTATCTATCTATTTAACTATCTATCTTTATATTTATCTATCTATCTTTCAATCTTTATTTTTATCTATCTATCTATCTATCTTTAGATGTACCTACCAAATAGATTATCAAGTACAATAGGTGGCAACAGAGAAATTAACCAATTATACACTACGTCACAAGTGTCAAATATAACAAGGACAATGAAATTTTCTCAAATTAGTTGACATGTTTTCCAAGATTAAATAAAAAAGTGTAAAAACGGAAACTAAAGAACACGTAAAATTTCACTTATTTTACTGTAAGAAAAGCACTTTATTCAAATATTATCAATATTATTGATGATTTTGTCGGACACAAAAACTAAGTTGACACTTGTGACGACAGAATACAACTGTACTGAGAGTGTACAAATTCTACGTTGCCATCTATTGTACTAGAATCTATTTGGTACCTACTATATATTCATCTTTATATATATCTATCTACTATCAATCTTTATATTCATCTACCTACATAAATAACTATCTATTATTCTACATATAACTCATTCTATAATATATGAATTATTTTAAACTTTATTTTTATCATATTTCATCAATCATTTTTATTTGTTAACCAATTTTTCAAACATTTTTCAGTTTAAAAAGGACAATTGCAGTGGTTTTTCCAAAGTTTGGCAGGCCTGACGCAAACATCTCTAAGAATTTTTCCAATTACTTACTAAACCTAAACACTAAAGCTTGATAGTTCTAAAATATACATGTCTAGTGCTGCCTTTTTTATTTTCATCCTTTATATAGCAAGGAATGATATAATTATATATATTATATATCTAGAGGATTCAATCAAGATACTGTCTAAAGTAGAGCTCTTGTCTATCTATCTATCTATCTATCTATCTATCTATCTATCTATCTATCTATCTATCTATCTATCTATCTATCTATCTATCTATCTATCTATCTATCTATCTATCTATCTATCTATCTATCTATCTATCTATCTATATATCTATCTATTATAGATAAAATGAAAATGATAAAATTCTTTGTAAATTATTAAATTTTTGTTTCGCGGCTTGATTAACACCAGCTGACTGTTAACAAACGTTAGAATTATTGATTAATTGATAAAAATAGTTTTTTGGCTACCCATAGCAAAAGGAAATCATTGGGAGGGGGTGGGGGATTCATAGGAGGGGCGCAAAGTGGAGGGTGAGGAAGGGATTACAAATTTTATTTTTATTTGCGTTAAGGATTATTAATTTTATATTTACTTACACAACTTTTGCGCGCACGATTTAAAAAGGCACTTTAAAAGTCTGTAGACTTAATTACAAGTCCATCTATAAAGTGGCAGATCCGAAGTCACACCGATAGCCTTAAAACTTTTGTTTATAAAAGAATAATCAATAAAAAAAAGGATGTCAACTGGCATCAAACCTTTAACGCCTATTGAACATAGGAAAGGAAAAAGTCCAAAATCTAGTTAAAGAAATAATTGAACTATGGAAGCAGTCCATAAAGCCTATTACGCGCAATAATAGAAATTTGAGGCAAATTGGTCTGCAAAGTTTAAATTCATGATAACAAGACAATTAATATCGGTCTCATGAAGGAAATGAATCAGCCTTTGTCTCGAAATTTTTAAACATTTATTTTTAAAACCTGATGCCCCCCGGCCCCCCCACCCCCTTCCATACCCGTACCATTCAAATTCAATCCTCCCCTTCCCGTGTTTTATTGTATGGGTTTGATATTGTTCCACTATAACTGGTATAACTGATCTCCCTGAAAGCGGATTAAAATTCCTAAATAAAGTTTCTTTCTTCCCTACCCTTCCTTCCTCTTTCTTTCCTACCCTTCCTTCCTCTTTCTTCCCTACCCTTCCTTCCTCTTTCTTCCCTAACCTTCCAATTCATTTGTTTAACCCTCCCTTCCTCTTTCTTCCAACCTTACCTTCCATTAAAGACGGCCAATGTTGGCTCGGCAAATCCCGTCATTAAAGTGTTAGTTTAAAGAATATATCTATGTAAAATCATGTACTTTAATGATAAATATATATCTATCTATCTATCTCTTTCCTTTTTCTTTCCTACCCTTCCTTCCTCTTTCTTACCTACCCTTCCTTCCTCTTTCTTTCCTACCCTTCCTTCCTCTTTCTTTCCTACACTTTCTTCCTCTTTCTTCCCTACCCTTCCTTCCTCTTTCTTCCCTACCCTTCCTTCCTCTTTCTTTCCTACCTACCCTTCCTTCCTCTTTCTTTCCTACTTTTTCTTCCTCTTTCTTACCTACCCTTCCTTCCTCTTTCTTTCCTACCCTTCCTTCCTCTTTCTTCCCTACCCTTCCTTCCTCTTTCTTCCCTACCCTTCCTTCCTCTTTCTTTCCTACTTTTTCTTCCTCTTTCTTACCTACCCTTCCTTCCTCTTTCTTTCCTACCCTGTAACCCTTTCTTCCTTTTTCATTTCCTTATTTCGACTTAATTTTGTATTTTAACTGGAAGCTTTTCTTTTTCTCAAAATTGAAAACGAATTCTGAAAGAAATTCAAACTATGAATTATTTTATTTTTAAATAATCTAAGTTTAAAATTTCAAAGGTTGCAAAGATATATATGCATTAGAATATTCGATTATGTGGCAAAACTCAGTTCCGTTAGCTTAATAAGCTCAACAACTGATGCAGAAAGGATTTTGTGGTAAGTTTTAAAACTGTCTTTGTAGCAACATCTTTTAATGATGGTTGTTTTCTGATTTTTTAAAGAAAGAACAAAAAACATGTCGAAACATTGGCATTAACAATCAATTTGAAAAGAAAGAAGAAAAAACATGTACTAAATTCTGGGAGGCATTTACAATTTTTTATAATCAAAATTTACAGAATTATACTATACAGGGTGTCCCAATAAACAGGGAATTAAATGACTACTGATATATCGTTTATGTTCCAAGCGGGATTATTTCGTAAATATGATTTTGTAGTATCGCGGTTAAAACATCAAACACCGAAAACTAATAGTCTCGGGATTTCCAAAATGTGGTCTGTCATTTTTTCCCCTTCAAAATTTTCGGGGATATTAGGTAATTTGGCCAGATTCCAGTTAATAAAAAATCAACAAAATTGTTCACATTTTTAACATCTTCGTAAATTGTGAAAATACAAAAAGGTAGACCACATTTTGGAAAGCTCATAAGACGTTCAATCTTTTTTTTCAGCACTTTATTTCATTTATCAAAGATGATTTTCAAGCCGTCTCTCAATTCCCATTGGGACATCCTTAATTAGCTTCGAAAACCAAACTAAAGCTAATTCCCGTAATCCTGCCGAGTTCTACAATCAACAAATCAGTCAAGGGTTATGATCGGAAATACAGACCTACCGACTGCCAAAGAGAGATTACTACTTTATGAATATATACAAGAATGTCTTGGACAAAAATATCTCTGAAACCTTAATAGCACCCCCTCCACCCCCCTTTACTATTAGTTTTAATAATTTGATTCTTAACTTTCAACGCCCTTTCATATAAACCAATGTAATCCTCTCATTCCTTATTTAACGCACTTTTACCCCTCCCCCACCCATCCGACTCTACCCATCCTTGACCCTCTCCCTTCCTTTCACCTTCCTCACACTGAATGTAAATGTTGAGGCTTATAAACTTGAATAAATTAGTCTACATACATATACAGGGTGTCCCAAATATAAATACAATACAGGGTATTCTAGATATACATACAGGGTGTACCAAACATACATGCAGAATATAGAAAAAATGCATGACAAGGGGGAGGAAATAAACAATTTAAGAGAAAAAAAATTGTATTTATTTTAATTTCTCCAAACGTCTAAATGTCAAAATTTCTTGACCATTACACAATTGAAAAAATAAACGTGTTAAAACTTAGCAAACCAGGAAGAATCTTGAAAAGCACATTCCAAAAATTATAAAAGAAAGCAAAAAGAGATTAAATCTGACGATTATTATATTTTGAACACCCAGCAGAAAGTGTTTAGACTCTGTATACAATAGGTATATGGGCTACACACTGGGTTAATTGATCAGTATTTAGAGATAATAATACAAACTGCTTAACCGGATTATTAACCTGGAGTTGATATACATTATATCTATTCGAAGAAGGATTTCTATTCACAGGTCAAGTTAGAATATGTTAAAATTGAGAATACTTTGAGGGGGGGGGGGTCAAAATTATAAACTGAGTTTTCATCATTATATTTTCATGTTTAACTTTTATTTTTTCGACACCCAATATGTAAACAAAAGAGTTTTTTATTGTTACTTTTACTATTTTGGTTATGTTGTAGCTTTTGATGGTATTAACACTTTAAGCTTTGTATACTGTATACTGAATACCATTCCTGCTTTATGATGCAAAGATATTTTTGTCATTTCTACGAGAGGGGGGGCATCATAATTGTATGATCTTTCCACATTTTCTTTGTTCCATTTTTTGTTCTGTTTCTGCAATCTTTTAATACAAACATTTCATTTTATTTANAATGGTAAGTGTAAACATATTTGTGAATTGTGAGCTATTAATGGTAAGTGTAAACATATTTGTGAATTGTGAGCTATAAATGGTAAGTGTAAACATATTTGTGAATTGTGAGCTATAAATGGTAAGTGTAAACATATTTGTGAATTGTGAGCTATTAATGGTAAGTATAAACATATTTGTGAATTGTGAGCTATTAATGGTAAGTGTAAATATATTTGTATGAATTGTGAGCGATTAATGGTATGTATACACATATTTGTGAATTGTGAGCTATAAATAGTAAGTGTAAACATACTTTTGAATCGTAAGCACTAAATGATAATTGTAAATATATTTGTGAATTATGAGCTCTAAATGATAATTGCAAATATGTTTGTGAATTGTGAGCTCTTAATGGTAAGTATATTAATATTTGTGAATTATGAGCTCTAAATGATAATTGCAAATATGTTTGTGAATTGTAAGCTTTAAATAGTAAGTATAAACATATTTGTAAATTGTGAATTGTAAATGGCAAGTATATTAATATTTAAAAATTGTAAGCTGTAAATGCAGGTAAATGTATCCATATTTGTAAATTGTGAGCTGTAAATGTATAAATGTTTAAACCTAGTATTTACATATGTAAATATATTTGTGAATTATGAGTTGTAAATGTTGAGGATATATAAATGTTTAAACGTAGTATTTACATATGTAATATTTGTGAATTGTGAGCTGTAAATGTTGAGGATGTATAAATGATGTTTAAACCTAGTATTTACATATGTAAATATATTTGTGAATTGTGAGCTGTAAATGTTGAGGATGTATAAATGTTTAAACCTATTATTTACATATGTAATATTTGTGAATTGTGAGCTGTAAATGTTGAGGATGTATAAAGTTTAAACCTAGTATTTACATATGTAATATTTGTGAATTGTGAGCTGTAAATGTTGAGGATGTATAGATGTTTAAACCTAGTATTTACATATGTAAATATATTTGTGAATTGTGAGCTGTAAATGTTGAGGATGTATAGATGTTTAAACCTAGTATTTACATATGTAATATTTGTGAATTGTGAGCTGTAAATGTTGAGGATGTATAAATGTTTAAACCTAGTATTTACATATGTAATATTTGTGAATTGTGAGCTGTAAATGTTGAGGATGTATAAATGTTTAAACCTATTATTTACATATGTAATATTTGTGAATTGTGAGCTGTAAATGTTGAGGATATATAAATGTTTAAACCTAGTATTTACATATGTAAATATATTTGTGAATTGCGAGCTGTAAATGTTGACGATGTATAAATGTTTAAACCTAGTATTTACATATGTAAACTGAGTAATCTCTCAAGAGGGTTTCTATACAAGTTTATAATGCATACAAATTTATAGAACTCTACTCTGCAAACCATCGCTTTATAAAATATAATAATTTAAAATGAAAAGAAAAATATAGAAATTATATTTGTTTACCGCTGTGAGTGGAAATAGACACTTTAAAAAACCGAAAATTTAATTTTTTTGTTGTTGTACACCCTTTACTTAACACTAAAACATATTGGTTGCTCAGTTTCTCTGCAGCACTATTCTGCGAAATCTGCGAAAATTCGCAAAAATACATGGAACCGGAGCCAAAGACACAAAATATCCACCAAACCGGCCATCGAAAAAATTCCTTTTAAGTATACATAAACTACACAAATATCATCAAAACCTTCCTTAATGATAATCAAGTTACTCCATAAACATTAGTTTAAAAATTAGTACTTTGAAAAATAAATCGGAAAACATTTCAGAAACATTCATGATCTGGATCCGTATCCTTTTTCACGGATCGGATCCATCATAAAACTAATCTAAAGCAAGTGAATCAGGGAACGGAAACGTCATGAGTGTGTGTCTGTACCAAAAGAGTGTGTGTAAGAATTACCGAACCGAAGGCGTGTACTGTAGGTATATACAGTACATAAGAATCTCGGTATTTGTAATTGTACAGTGTAGGAGAGTAAATTTGTTTATTGTTAATTTTTTACTTAAAAATAAGTTTAATATACATGAAATATATTGTTTACATATTTAAGTCAACACTATAAAACCAAATTTGCATGCAAAGAATATAATTTGATTAAAGTTCACAATAAACTAGTCGTTATTCAAATTTAATTATAATTGACGACATTATTCTGCAATTTCCTGTCTGTACGAGAAGAGTGTGTGTAAGGAATACCGAACTTGTCTGCAAAGCAGTGCGACTGGCTTTCTTATGGCAGACCAGCGCCATTTCCTTTCCCTTTATTCCTATTCCCTGTTGTGAATGTGTATTGAGTCATATATCTGTAGTTTCTAGTTTTTGAAACCAAGGTTTAGTTTCTAAATATTAATATTATCCGAAAACCTAAATAAAACATTAAAAAAGGTCATTTTTTTTGGGGGGGGGGGATATGAGTCAAAATACACTTTAGGTTGAAACATTTCCAATCCTAGATTTAGCTTTGACTGTCTTAAGTCTATCTCTAGTTTCTAGTTTCTGAAACCAATGATTAGATTCCAGGTATTGATTTTATCCGAAAAACATAAAAAAAATACAAAAATTGGCAGGCGGAAATGACTTCCAAAGCAAATGAAACAAACTGATGTTTTTTGGAAAAATTAAAATTACTTTTGGGTGGATTTCCAAGATTTAACTGTGACTGTCTTGAGTCGGTCTCTAGTTTCTAGTTTCTAGTTTCTGAAACCAATGATTAGTTTCTAAGTATTGATATTAGTTTATGTAAAGTTTGACAGAGTCATCAAACCATGGGACAGAACTAATCACAGACTTCTAGATCTTTTCGGAGCTGGGCATAGATTCCTGTAATAAACGTTCAAGACTAAAAATGTCGTTTTTCCGACTCAAAAAGTGTTTAAATGCGCAAGTAAAGTTACTG